TCATAACTGCCCAAGGTGACTACTCAGGGGACCGATAAGTGATTCTGGTCTATGTGGACAGGATAATATCACTTCTATTAGTAAAATGAATAGAAACCTTAAAATTTCCTATTTACATATCTTATTTGCATATTAAGGACAACTTAAATGGTCCCTGTAACCACTTGTCAAAGTCACATGTATTGATAATGAAAAACTTGCAATTGGAACCTACCACATTGTGCATGAAGGTGGTGATGGGAGCATCGTAGAAGAGGTAGAACCTGGTGAGAGGGCCGATCCTCTTCCACTACTGCGGAAGTCCAACTCCCCTTCCTCTGTGTGAGGAGCTTCATACTCCTCCTCTTTCTCTTCATCCTTCAACTGTACCTGTGATGTCTGCTGGTTGTTGATCAGACTAGGGTAGGAAGAGGGAAATTTATTAATTGTTCCAAATACATGGAGGTTGCACTGTTTTGACTACTGTATTTTTTTCACAGCTGTCATTAAGAAAAGGTAAGAGTTCACTGAAAAGTAAGCGTAATCCTCGTTATTCTTTATTTTATGCAAGTCCAATATCTTCACTCCAAAGTTTTTGCAATTGAAAAAAAATTTTTTGCCCTGACGCTTTAAAAAAAAAAAAAATCCAAGAAGCAACAAATAACTGATGTGGCTTTAACTAAAGAAGAGGAGAAAAGTAACTTTTTCTAATAATTCTAATAATAATTTACCAGTAGCCTTTATTTTTGTGACACACTGTATTTCACACTGTACAATTAACTTTGAAATAATTTGACTTCACAGGTATGATTCCACCTGACTGTAAAATTATTGAAATTGGCAGTGCAGCTTTGAAAGTTTAACTCAAATGATTGCAATCTATGAACCAAATTCTACAGTCTGGACTTTCCTTGGCTGGTAAAAACATTCTCTTATAGTCATCAGCTTGAAAATAGCAGTGCAGCATTGAAAAGTGCCCATGTGCTAACACCCATGTAGGAGAGTGACCAAATAAAGACCCCTGCCTGTTCTCACTATACATGTAGTTGTGAGTGTCCCAATCAGAGTTTGATGGCTTGTTGTACCCATTCCACTTAAATCGAGGGCAGCTGTAACAAATTTATTTCTACAAAGAATAAATTTTAGTACACCCTCTGTATAACTTTCCAGTAGAACATTCAAGACCTGGTTAACTTCATATATCTTTGATAATAATATACACTGTTATCTCTGATTGTGAAGGATTATTAAGACACTGAAAATGTAAATGGCCATCAAAATAAATGGCCATCACTAAACTGATTTTTGTCTTCTTTTAATATTCAGTTATTCTTGATACTATTCTTGAGTACTTATTTCATGGCTATTTACATCAGATATGTAACGTGATAACCCATTACTATATCTCCAGCAGTACTGTAGTTGTTTCTCTTACCCAGATCCAGAGCTGTGCACTACCACCATCTCCATACTCTTGTCCAACTCTTCTCCCTCTGGTATGCTGTCTACAATCATTCCTGCATTAGTTCTAGTCCTGGCCACTACAGGTCTGCCCATGCCAGCTGAGATGGAATAATGGCGTTCATCTGTTCCAAGAGGTTCGATCAAAGTCTCCTCTTCTTTCTGGTCCTCTCGGAAGTAGATGAGAGCAGGGACCAGGGGTGGGATGAAGATACAGGTGAACAGCTGGTGGGGAGAGAAAAAGACAATGTTAGCAAACTGCAGGTAAAACAGCTTGTCTTGCTGCAAGTCACAGAGTACTTTGAGCACAAAACACACAAATACATACACACCTACAAATACAGTATACTTGTCCTTGGTACTGAACACCATCCACACACACACACACCATCCACAAAGATACAAACAGACAGATATACAATGTATATAGACAGACAGACAGACAGACACACATATAAACACATACAGACACACAAAAACACATACATGCACTTAAAGACAAATGCACCTGTCCTTGGTGCTGAATACCATCAAAACAACAGCTTTCCCATGGTTATGACTGACTGAAGTTGCACCAGAAAACCTACCCTAATGATGGAGGTGTCCAGAGCCAACTTGCCCATCCAGATGTTATTGAGGAGAGCCTGACAGGCACTGTGTGCGATGAAGTTGAGGTGGTTTCCACTGATGGCGATCCTCAGGCACGTCAGCTCCCCCCACAGGTACAGCTCTCGGACCAACAGGAGCTGGGTTCGAAGCTCGTCCTCTCCCCAACACTCGTTCAACACACCAAGGGCAAGGTCTTCAAATTTACTGCAAGAAATCAAGGCATAAAAAATTGTTTAGTTTCCCAAATCTCATCAAGTCAAAGTGGATAATGTAGTATCAGGACTACTCTCCAAGCAGAGGTTTGGGTTTTGGCTAAAGTTTCATTTTAACACACATTTGGAAACAGTACTAAACTTACTCTGCATGCTCCAACATTTCCTCGCTCAGTTCCGTGTCGTTCTCCAGCTCTCGTGCCATGGACTTGAGAAGTTTGCTGCCAACCAGAGCGGCGGCCACGCCCTCCTTCCCTTCCTCCCAGAACAGGCGTGCCATCTCCTGCCGGTTCAGAAGCACACAGAACACAAACAGCTCTCTGGTCGGGTCTTCACACACCGCTTTTGGGTCACCACCACCTACGGGCAGAAATTAGCCAGAAATTTTCTTTAATGATCTTCACTGCCTAACAATCATCTGTATCTGTGTCTGTATAGCTAGATAGCCAGGATAACGCCCTTCTTTGCAGGCACACAGCGCAGTGGCAGCTAGCTACATGTATATCACACTGAATGACCTGTTACACCCAATCTTTACACATTAACTTACAGGAGTTGTTTAAAGCTTTCTAGTGATGATGCCCCAGCTGTGCTTGGTGGCAAGGTACCTATATCTACAAACTGTACATTGTAAGACCTCCACTTTAAAACAAGGAAGGTAAAGGGAGATTTTTGAGACTGTCTTGATTTAAGTGTGCAAATCTTGAACATTTTCCAATACTGAATTTAGTACATCTTTTTAAATCCACTGCCTTTTTATTGTCATAGTGGCAGTCTTAGAAAACTATAAGAGTTAATTTTAGACCAAATTAAAAAAGAAATGTTGCTAGTCACAATGTTGAAGGTTATTCTAAAGTTGATGACTACTTGCCGTATCTTTCAGGATTTCTCTCATAGAGGGGGACATAGATCTCGCCCATCAAAGACTGGATAACATGGCCCACATCATTCATAGTTACAGAGACCTTCAGGAAAAAGAAGGTAACAAAAAAATCTGAGATTTCAAACCTTTGGAAAGCATTATGATGCATAATGTGCACAACAACTGCTGACAATTTATAACATCACTTTTAACGTTGTTACCAGTAATATCAATTGAATATAAAATTTCAACTACCTTGGCAGTAGATGGTTTTCGCTTCTGAAAATAAATAACAAAGAAGTAAGAAGTATAGACTGAAGTAAGACTCTGAATGTGAAAATCAAGGCATTCAAATGTCAAGCAAATATAAGGATACAGAAAATTCTATAAGGATACAGAAAAAAATTGTATAAATATTTGATATATTATTGATATGCAAGAACTATAAACGTGTACCAAAATATTGTTTACTTAATCTCTAATAGCAAATGCAGCAAACAGCAAAAAAGTTGGAACTTTTTGTTCTTATTTACAAATTCTCAAAGCATCAACAAGATTTGGCAATCCCACCAATGATTTTGAAGGGGATGATATCCTTTCTCGGAGTCGTTTTTGGAGCATGTCAAACAGCACACCTGACTGTGGAATCTGTGCAGAAACACAGTAATGCATTAGTAACTAGAAAGGTAACATTTGAAAAGCAAAACAATGCATAAGATTTACTATCCCATTGTCTATCCTAACAAGCTGCCACTCTGTTCATTGTTACATATTTTATATATACCGGTAGGGTGACCAAACCCTCCAACTGTCCTGCCATTTGCTACATAATGTAATCCAACACCACAGCTTGATCCAGGTCACTGTCCGTATTTGTTTGGAAAAGAAAGTAAAGGATACAGAGCAAAAACAACATGTTTTTTTTCTGCAAAGGTAAACATTTAAAACCAAAAACTTATAACAAACTTCTAACAAAATAAAATATACAAAAACATGTATAATCATACCTCACTGTACAGCCTCTGTAGCCTTCTAACTGTCAGAAAGTCTTTGAGACTGACTCCATTTTCTAGGAAGAGCTTGACAAAGTTAACCTTGTCTTCAAGAATGGCAGAATACATCAAGTCCTCCAGTTCTTCTTGCTGCAAGGTAAGATGTATTAAATTGTTACAGCAAGACAAGATATACTTAAGAAACCTTTTTGCTAACTAAAGACCTTTAATAAATAAATAAATAAACATAGTCAACAACAACATAAGACTCAGACCTTCCACCTCCTGTCTGCCGTAAAGATGTCAGTTTCAGCGATGTCACTTCTGTTCCAGGCCAGTGCTAGTTTCAGCTGATGTTGGTAGTCATCCTTGTTTGCTGAAGAATCAAGTTTAGTCATTTTTACTGTTGAAATGAATCAAAGCTTTGAGCATGTATCTTTTACTCTAAATTCAATTATCTCTTGGGCCTTAACATGGAACTTAAAAGAAAACTTAAGACCATTATGAGTCAATTTTAATTACTAAACTTTTTGTTTCATTGAATTTAAAGACACACAAGGTACAGAACTGAATGCCTCAGTACCCAAATGGGCGCATCTATTGCATGCAAATCAACTTGTGACACTAGTGTAGAATCCGTCTCAGTTACTTCTGCTACTTACACTAGTAGCATAGCTACAAATTGCATTTATCTATTTGGAGCCATCTAGCAGTTCCTGAATAAACTGCACGTTTAACTACATGGTTGTAATACATACCCCTGAGTAGTGCCCGAAGCATGGCCACGTCTATGTTCTTTGCAGATTCTCGACTGTCAATCTCAAAGATGGACAAGAGTTGCTTCTTCCTGATGCTGTCCACCACCCATTTTGTCCACTGTTTGAGTTTTTTTGGATCCAGTTTTGACGGATCGTTTCCTCCAAACTCTTCTGCTATTTTTGCCCTCAGCACTTCCTCTAGTTGCGTGTCTACACGACCTACAATTCTGAATGACAAATTTGTGATATTGAGAACTTGAATTTCTTGAATCTCTAACTAAAAACTGTATGACATCATTTTCCTTTATAATAATAATAATTGCAAACTTTGATTAAAACAATAATCTGTTTTAACTTTTATTCAGTCCACATCAAGTAATTATGTATACCATGCCATTGATACTTACTCCTGCTTTCCAACATGCCCCTCCACTGCTACCACCTCTTCTAGAGAATGGTTAAACCCATATGCAAGTATGTCAGCAGCACCTCCAGACCCTTCCACTATCACAGCAGGGGTGTTGTTGCTCACTCCTTGATAGACAGTTTCCAGCGTTCCTGGTCCCCCCTGCAGTGCGAGTAGGACGACCGGAATAGAGACTGAACTGGAGCCCGGAGCTGTAAGAAAATTGTTCCTTAGTACCAACCTGGAAATAAGGCTACATGACAGGCTATTCATGTATAAGCTGTTTATATAAGGCAATTGCAGATGGCAGACTTCAGCCCTTCTTCCGATGCTGCATTGCAAATACAGGAAATTGCAAAAGCATCATGTTCAGTAAGTCACTCTTGGTCAAGAAATTTGTACAATTATTTTATTTGAAGGAAATTAAACAACTTCTTGTCTGCAATGACTACATATGGATTGTACATATGGCCATTGTGTAGTACACAACATAATTGTACTATCAGAGAAGAAACCCTACCTTGTGTAGAAGCTCTTGTCTTGTGTTCAGAAATTCTCTTCTCCAGCTCTGCCCTGAGTTTGATCTCCTTGCCAAATTGCTCGTTAGTTCCATCATCCACCAGGATGAAGTGGGAGTGGTTAGGGTCCAGAGCTGCCCGGCCTGGGGGAGGATCCTCCAGGTGGTACCTGGCAGGGAAGGACCCCTACAACATAACAAGGTGGTTAGAGGTGTGCAGTTAGACTCTGAAGGTCCAGGGTTCGAGTCCCTAACAGGGAAATTCTATAAGAGTTCTTATATAGTTATGGTTGACTGAGATGTAAAAAGCCCTACAATGAGGCAAGGTGGGCTTGTGGTTAGAGTTACTGGTAAAAAGGTAGTCCCATAGCCTTTTTTATGCTGTAGGGGCAGTGGGTTGTGTCTAGGGAACTAGGGAACTACGAGGCAAACTGTCACGGGAAGCCTTAGAACTTGCATACTCCACCCTTGTACGTCCCAAGCTAGAATATGCCTCGATACTCTTCAGCAACATGAGTGCTGCCGCCTCCAAGGTGCTCGAACGAGTGCAGTACCATGCGGGTCGTCTCGTCACCGGCGCAGCTCCTCGTACACCTTACACAGACGTGCTGCACGAGCTAGGGTGGGCTACTCTTGCGGCTAGGCGAGACTATCAACGCCTAGTCATCATGTACAAGCTCATTTCCGGCTCTGTTCCCCAGCACCTTCACCCACTCATTCCGACAACGAGACAAGCCCAGAGTCAACTCCAGTTGCGCCTTCGTAACTCTGTACACCTCCACATCCCCAGATGTAGGACCAACATCTACAAGAACAGCTTCATCCCCTACACATCCCGGCTCTGGAACGGTCTACCCAGACACATCACCGACTCTCCCACTCTCAGTCAATTCAAGGCTCACTGCAGAAACCACCTTTTGTCATGATTCTTCTTTTAAACTTGCAGTTATATTTAAACTTTTACCCATAGCCTTCCATTCATCCCAATTTAGTATCTACACTCTTTGCACATATTGCTGCTAGTTAGGAATGTCTCGATGTTCTTATATTATGTATTATAGTATTGTACCTTGTAACCAGTTAACATGTTATCTTTATTTCAGGTCTTGTATTTATAGTAGATTTCTTATTTCATGTTTGTCTGCACGTCTGTACATGTGGGTTATCTAATACCAGTTTACACTGCCTTGATAACCTGTGTCTTGACCTGTTGTCATTGCCAATAAAGAAAGAAAGAAAGAAAGGGAACGGTATTGGAAGGTTGAGTTCAACTCTCTCCTTCCATCACCTTTTACCTCCACAATTGAAGTCAGGGACCCATTTTACACCTTGGTGGAGTGAGGAAAGTCGTGAGTGACTGAGAATCTATTACTATTATGTATTAGTAAGATTCTGTATTATCTAAGGTTTGAATCCCTGGCAGACCCCAGTGTTGTGTCCTTGGAGAAGACATTTTACACCTATTTCTTTACTCTACTCGACATGTACAAATAGCTTACCTGATCGTTGATGAGTTCATCGTTGTGATGCACGATGCCCCATGTTGCCACCCCGATGGCCACCACCTTGTTACTGGACCTGCCAGCCACAGCGTTAGTCCTGACTGCCTCCCCAACATGCTTCATCACACCAGCGTGTGTCCCTCCTGTGATGATCCATGCACCTGCACACATGTATACACATAAACAACACATTCTGTAGTACATGTTGTAGTATTCAAGCACACATACAGACATAGTTCATTCTGAAGAAGAAAAGTGTAGACATTCCATCAGCCAGACTTCACTTGCCATCTACCGTAGGGTTGATATGAACTGTGTGCAGGAATGCTGCTAGGAGGCACTTTTTACCTTACAACACTTGTAATGGGAATTAAGCACCTGTTTTGTCTGGGACTGAAGGACAGAGGCTGGAGAAAACCTGGCCTGAATGCAGTCATACCTTCATCCTTAAGCAAGCCAGCTTATTATTTAAATTTGCAACATTTAGTATTGTTCCTCCTTTTAGTATTGCACTTGATGGTGACGATTCACCTTCTACATGTACTACTAGAAAGTTATACTAAATGTCTCAAAAACATGTGTAAAACACTGAAAATGAGCTAGATCCTCCCATCTACTTGGAGGTCAGTCATACCTGTACTCTGAGCTGCCTTGATGAGACCCTTTCTGAAAACCTCCTGTAGTCTGGGCTTTATGTAGAAGTTTTTGGCCCCACCAGTGACAGAAATGAGAAGGTTGGGAAGTTCTAAGTTCCACTGTTCCCTCATGAGTTTCAGCACATCCTCTGGCTCTGTCGTGTGGTTCACTCTAACAAACTGGAAGAGGAAAAAAAAGGAAATTTTCATGCAAAGAGCACATAACAAAAATAAAGCTATATTATATTTATACATGTATATTGATATTACTATTACTAAGAATTTAATCATGCTCACCTTCCCAACTCTTTGTCCAAAGCCGACGAATTCTAGTTCACCAAAAGCATTAGTCTTCCCGATACTTGTGTGCATCAGTGAGTTCCATTTTGTATCAGGTGGCTTCTTGTTGGCCAAGGCAATTTGATGATGTTGGGATTTGAGGTATCCGCATTTGCACTTTCTTTCTTCACCTTTGCTGTAAAAACAAAGTAGGAAGATAATGTTGATCTCTAAATCTGAAATACTTTTAGCTCAAGATAATCGATGTACAATAATGTGTAGCTTTTTTTGAATAAACAAAATGGTTTTTGAACAATAGTACTGTACTATTGTTCAGAAACCATTTTGTCTATTCAAAATAATGCAACCCGAGAAAGGCTATCCGTTTTGAACTTTCAAACAGACAAGGACCAAAATTGACAGCCAACAATGACAGACACATGCAGATTGACAGATGAACAGATGGAAAATGTTGTCAATTGTGATCAGTTGATATGACGGAAAATGTATTCAAAGAAATTTAATTATTGGAGATGGGATGAAAGCAAGATATAACTACAGCACAACAATTCTGAACTGAAATACAAGCTTAAGTGCATCTTGTAACTTGCAACCTACACAAATATTATGTGCACACCTGTTAATACTGCTTTTCCTCTTTTTCCTGTGCAGGCCAGCAAAATAAAACATGACAAAATTGTGATTGCAAAAAGACAGTGTGAAAGAAGTACTCTCCAAGCAGAGGTTTAAGTTTCAGTGTATTAAATTTTGATATTTATTATGTGTTTTAGGCATTTTCATCAAGTTTTCTGTTTTGTACTGGTATCTTCTTTTACACCAGCCAAACATTTGGCAAATGGATACTGCCTGGCCAATTGATATTGTCTTTGTAACCACCAAAAGATACTTGGAGATCACGAAAGAAGAGCACCCACAAATAAACTGGAAACACCACTGTAAACACAGGAAAGTGTAAAATAAAAGAACACAAACACACAAAGACACACCATGTACATGTACATGTAGGTGAACGTGCTGACAGTCTTAAAAGATCCTAATGTGCTTTGTTTTGGTCAAAATTCATTGGGTATGTAAAAGAGTGTAAAGAAGAAATGTATGAAGAATCACATGTATACCAAACATGCACTTTCAGAAGGTTTTCTAATGGCATCATTAGCAAGATAGATGTGAAGAAGTATGAAAAACACTTTTAAGTATTAAAATACAGTCAGTTACAAATTTCTAGACTTCTAAGTCATCAGGTTCTAAACAAGTTTTTTTTTCAAAATTTGGAACATTTGATAACATTGCCATGCACTTTGTAAGATCATGGAAAACTGACAATCCATTAAGACAATGTAGACAGGACAAGAAATATATTCCTGTACTGTATTTTTTACCTTTTCTCATCTGCAATAAAGGTGATGCATTCTCTCATTTCGATGTGGTTGCGTATCCAATGACATGACTCAGTTTGCTGTGAAGACAAATGAGATAGTGGAAGTGAGTTCATGGTTCCAACTGCGCATGCTTAATTCAAAATCATATTTTGCATCATTATATTACGTGTCTATCTGGGTATAACTGCCAAATGAAAATTCAAACATACAAATGAAACTCTTCTAATGAATAAAAAGAACCATATTAACTTATATATATATATATGTATATTGGTAATGCTATACTATACAAATAACTGACTTACTGATGAATTTACCAGCTACTCTGAGTCTGACATCAAAGTTTATAACATTAGACATTTCAAATGCCTCTGTGGATGACCTACATGAGATCAATTTTTTTTACAAATATTGAAAAAGAAGTCCTTGAAAAGTCAAGAAAAATTGAGACCTCACCTCACTAGCGTCAAATGACCCAGTCCTACGGTGGCCATTTTTGAAGCGACCTTTGCCTTTTCGTGGTGCAAAAGAACTCTGCCATCCAGTCTCTCTGCTCTTGGTAGTTTTACTGTGATTCTCCGAGGGCTGAATTTTATTCTTACCTGGCATTGTCGCCATGGCTTTATAGAACCTTGGGCTAAAACAGATACGAGTAACATCAATGAGGGAGATAACATTGTAGTTGAACAATAAAAGTTGGTGGTCATTCCAATGGGTTTATAATCAAATTGACTTGGGTACCATAGGAAAAGGAAGTACACAAGATTTGTAATGAATGTATAAAAGTATAGTACATTGTAAAAAAAAATTAATAAAGAGAAAATGGGAATATGATTGATAAAAGTTGAGTATCCTAATCTTTTTGTGCCAAGTACCATAGCCAGCTAACAGTTAATCTTATGTGACCATTCCATATTCTTTTCTTTGAAACATACAGCAAAGCTGAAGTCAATGCTGGGACTTACTGCTTTTATGACTACTTCATGATTTATTCATTACCATGTGTATATAATATTATGATACACATTGCATTGACAGTGTTCTGCTGTGATATTGAAAAGATTGAAGCAGTTTGAGCGACATATATCAACAAAATCTGTTATGATAAGCTATGATAATGCTGATTGAAAATCAAATGTCGGATCATTAAAAACCATTAGTCGGATCATTAGTTCTTATCAAGGACACCGTGTACATGTAATTGTCCTTGGTTCTTCTTGAGTTGAAAACAAATCAAATTTACTGCTGCTCGCTACAAAAAGGCGAATCGTGTGCATGTGAAAATTATTTGACGACTAAAAATAACATATGCCACCACCACCACAAGTACGATTCGGCTATTTTCGACTTACCTTGAAGAGCTTTAAGGAAGAAATCCTATCTGAACAAACACATTACATATTCAGAATACAATTTGCTAATGCGCTACTGATATATCTAAAGTACAGGCTGAGATTTATGAAGAAATGGGGAGGAGGGGGGGGGGCGTTAAGGCTTCTCCTGTTTCAATAGCAACGTTCCCAAACAATCACTCAAAACGTCATGCCCCCTCAATAATTGTGCAACATTCACATGCAAATTTCGGCTTACCTGGCCTTTACAAAGTCGGAAACACTGATTCAACGAACGTCTGAGGACTATCTGAGCAGAATGTCAGCGAAAGTAGTTCAAACACTGACAAAAAGAAGCCATATTTTTGTGGCTAATTACGAGGGTCAACATTTTGCTTCTAAATCGTCCCGCGGCTGGACTGCCTTCGTTCGTCCGGTCGTCCACAAGAAACGTCAATCATATGACGTCATGGACGATACCATTTTACAATTAACCCAACAGGACATTTGGGTATTTCATGTAGCGTTAGGTGTTATCATCCCGAAAGAAATGCGTGGTTTTCTACGATAGAACAAAAAAGCAATATAAATAAGAAAACAACGTTTAGAAGTGAAATTAATAATTCTTGAATCATTAACGATTACTCTCTTTCACTTAGCACATTTTGCCATGGCACAGTCTATTAAAGATTTTGCGTAAGTTAAGGGCGGGAACAAATGAAATGATAAGGTTAACGTTAATGCATGTAACGTTAAGTCGTACAGGAGAATTAAAAACCCAAAACGAACAAACAAAAAAGACGGCAGCATTTAGATCGAAGAATAAAGAGTGAAATAAGTCTCATAACCCATTTGTCATGTTTTAACTTTTCTACATGTAATTTTATTAACGCTTTATGTGTGTTATCGTATTTTTTCTGAACAAATGAATGAATGAAATGTTTATTCATCAAAACACATAACGTTATGCTGAATTGCGTGTTTAAATACTAAAACAAAATCTACGACGCATTTTTAGTGGTAACTGATTTCACACATGATATTCTAAGGAAACGTACAATGCAGTTTCAATAGAACCTTAGTTACGTGCCATATCCTGCTATCTATTTTTCCATAACAAAAATTAGAATATTTATCTTGAACAAATTTAACTTTAATCGTTAGCCAGTGTTAGCGTTTAATGCCAATTTTGGGTCTCAGTTTGCTCCTTCAAGACGACAAAAGCCCAAGGACTGCAATGAGTAAGAACTTCGGAGTTCAACATGTCAGTCATAATGCCATGTTTAAAAGGTAATGCCCTATTTTGATTACATTTGATTATCAACGCAGGACTTTTTATTATAAAACGAAGTGGCGTCAAAGGCGACTTTCCAGCGTCATAAAAAGTACAACACCCTGACCACCCCTGCGCCAAAACGCCTTTGCTACGGTCCAATTAAAGCTCAGGGCGATTTTCTTTCTAAGTCCGTAATCCATGCGCATAATTACTTCACGTTACTTTTATCTACAAGGTTTGAAGCTTTCATATGAAAATTGTAGAAACCCTACAAGATGTTGGTGTCTTTGATGGTATGGTATCTTGCATAAAGGTTTTTTGACACAGTCGTGTAAGGTAAACTCCCGATGAACTACTTTCTTGGTGGTTGTTTAGTCGGAGGGATATGGTGTGCACGTAGAACCAATATGGCCGCCATCTTGTTGTAATAACTACCGATTGTGGTGAATTTTGCAGAAAAATTCTCCAAAACGGCTGGATACATCAAGAGTTTGAATCCCGTACCAGCCAGGAAAGAATATGAAGGATCCATATATTACGGTAAGTGTCGTGTACACGGCGTTCTGAGCTCATCATGGCGCTGAAACTAAGGGGGTGACGAGGTAGGAGGCGGGGAGATAGATCGAAGCCTGGACGATTAAATTCATCCTCGCAGAGCGCTAGCTAATTTCGTATCTTCCTCCTCAATTTCTATCCATAGAATCCTTCATATTATCGTGGGAGTTCATCAAAAGCATTGCAATGAGATTTTTTATCTAATAGTGGTCGGAAAGAGATGTATAACGGGATTTTACCCGGTCCGCTTGGATCAACCTTGAGGAGTTGATGTGTAAACGATATAGGCCCTGGTACGCTACGACTATGGCAGCTAGCGTTCCTGGCTTAATACCTTGAACCATTCATTTTATGACAAAAATCCTTTGAAAAGAAGCCATTCTCGTCCTCACTGATCAAAGGAGCTTTATGTTATAGACAAAAGTGGCATGTACTGTTAGATTTTGCATACGTGATAGACGATAGAATGGGATGCAATGTTTTTAACATTGGCGGGGTACGCTATCCCTCCCCACTCGCGCCATCACCAAACGCCGCTAATTCGGACGGCTCTCTGCAAACGTATTTCCTCTACTCCATCTCCTAGCCGCCCAATATTGGCAATATTTCGCACACTTTTGGTCAGATGATATCCATGAGATGTTAAGATTTCTAGTTGTGTCAGTGTGGATGGTTATAGAGTTGACGTTTTAGGACACTAGCGGGCACAAATTTATGTCGGACGACTTTATGGAAATGTCCAGGCGGCCGGCCCGGGAACTAGGTGGAGCGCGAGGTCGCCAGGTCCCGCAAATTCCCGCACCTTTTGTTTGGGGCGTCCTTGGGCCAAGAACGAAGGGCTAACCCGCTGGTCTGACCAGCAAAATCTCATCCAGAAACTCCTAGCAAAATATCCTCCCTCGTTCCTGCACTGAAGGTGTGATTTTTTTTAAAACTGGGACAATGAAAATTAAATTTATGGCAAGGGTGAGGGCCCGGACGACCCGATCGGCGCATGTTGCGACCAAATAAAGATAAAACCTTCTCAGTGAAGTGTAAACCCAGTTCCTCAGCGTTTCTATCAGTCACTCTAGTTCCCCAGTGCTTATAAAACGATCCTATAGCGTTATTTTGCCTGCTGATGATATAGTTTGCAGGCACAGGTTTGTAGGGTCATTGCCCCTCTGTCCAGTGGCCATGCTGCACCTTATACTAGTTACATTTCCTGATATGGTCCGGGATTGTCCACAAAGGGAGATGAGATGGGGAGGGGAGTGCACACGTCTTTATGATCATAAATTCATAGTTAAGGGAGATGAGACTTTACTAGCATGGGCGTAATATACTAATAACATATACGCTAATGAAGACCATAACACACTCAGAGGTCGAAATGCCACCCGCATGTGCAGGTTATTTTTTAGTGGTACATGTAACTAAAATTGCTAGTGGTATTTCTGATATCTACCTTTACTGGTCCATGATAACACCAGCCCCAGGTGGTAAGGTGCCTCCAAAAAAGCTTTATGCTCTTCATATTAGCATTACTGAATACAGCAGATGACAAAACTAAAATTGGCACTACTAGAAACATTTTTCTAACATTCTTTTTTTGATGGACTGAAAGGCAAAGAAACTAAGTAATCATGCCAAACTAATGTAGGTAATTTTGATTGTTACCTGTACCAGTGCAAGTATGAAGAATAAAGTTGTAGTATTTTGAGCTCGGTTTTTCGCAGGTGGGGCTTCTGGCACTTTTATGACAGATAGACAGAAGATGCACCTGTTCTCAGGTAAATCCCCATGAGGGTTGCATTTCTATAATTTGTACGTTAAAATCATTCGTTTAAAGCCTGTCATTAGATGTAACAAAGCTATACAACCTTGATAATTTAGTTCACATGCACATTCGGAATGTTTTTGTCTATATTCACTGATCTGAATATCAGTGAGATAAAAGAATTGTTACCTGTGTGTCAGTTCCGTATACAACAATTTGAAGCATCACACTTTTATACATCTTTGAGGTTCCATTATTCTGTAATGACACCAATTGTCCAGTTAGATTTCAAAACGCCAATGCCCATGTTATTTCCATCATACATTTTCTCATTACAGTTAGTTAGTAGCTTCAAAGTAATGTAGTGCATTTATGTTGAAGCCAAGGATATTATGAAATATTTTCTAGGTACATGTATTCTAATTGTATACATTTTTAACTGGTGTAGGTAACGCACTATTGGCCTTAATTTTTTTGAAGCCCTTTCATTTTCAATTCTTCCCGCAAGATTTTGGAAACTGTATTACTGGTAGTACACTACTAAATTAGTAGTGTGGCTTGAAAGTGTCTTATTCATGATAAACTATATACAGTGGCCCCATGTTTTTTTTTTTTGACCAAAATGACAAAAATCTGAAAATGTTATTTTATAATTTTGTTGTGGGTTGTAGCAGCATCTTTTGGTTGAAGATTTTCCATTATTTCTTGTTGTAAATGTTGGTATGATGAACAATCATCCTGATTGTGTTAAGGTTATGTGGACGTTACCCATTTTTTTTTTAATTACAGGAGTTCAGTATCATCACAGATGATGGATATGTCTCTTTTTTATGCAGTAAAATGCATGGAAAACTATACATGGGGAAAATCTTCAGTCTCTTTGTTACCCCACTATCCCATTCAAATCAAGTATTTGCACAGGTGATAAAAGTGTGTTATTGCTTTTTTAATGGTTGGTAATGCGTTGACCAATGGATCTACCTGTGTGTTTTGGTCATGTCAGAGTCATAGGCACACAATCCAACTGTTTCCCCCTTGTGAACAATTTGGTATAGTCTATGGCACTTTGCCAAGGTTTCTAATAACATTGCATTCAAACCTTTCTCCCTGTGTTGTTCCAGCAATGCTTAGAGTTTGCAAAAATGCTAACTTACATCATAGAAAGATACTTCGGTAAGGATAATATCTTGGTCTTCATCCAAACACCTTTTTGAAGATATAAAATGTTTTTACAGCTGTAAGGAACAATATGGTATGTATTACGAATGTTATGTAGCTTTACGTAAGCATCAGTTTTCCTTGTGTTACTTTATTAATTTTTCATACAAGAAATTCCAGTGATGTGACTGAGTAAGCATAAAAAACCTTAGGATGTGGTATTGGGTTGGAATTACGAAGCAAAATTACACCTACTAGCTACAGGTTACTGTGACCTAGGAAGTGTACATGCTGAATACAACCTAGCACCCCTATCAGCTGACAAAATTGGAATAGTCCTTATCAATCAAATCACCTGTTAAAGGTCACCAGACCATATTTAGGCCCGTAGGTCAGGAACCTGATTGGTCAGGGCTGACCCTGTGTCATCATCTATTGTGTCTGGCAGGATCAGAGGATCGTGCCATTTGCCTGGCGGGGTGGAGGGATATGTTTTCATGGGCCATTTCACTGCTATCTTTCTAGTGTAGCTATCATACAGAGTCATGCTATTGTTTATGCTATAATGTTGTTACGAAGATAGGTCTAAATAGCTCGTTAGTTGCAAAATGAAGACTTATGGACCACATCTTGTGTTTTAAAGATCAAAGGTAATCTCCTAACAAATAGACAGGTAATTTTGTGTTGAATTTTTCACTCATACATGAATAATACAGGAATGCCCTTGTGAGGCATTTGGCAGATTGTTCTCAGTGAGTTTATGTGTGTATGTCCAGTGCAATATAGCCCTTTTGGCATTTGTTTTTTGATGCTAAAAACAAGGTAGATACAGTTGCCGATGAATTTCCATGATAAATACAGTTATATGTATTGGTACAAATTTATTTATTAACTGCTGTTGTTCCATGTGGTTGAATTTCTATGGTTCAAGTACATGTATTTTCTGAGCAAATGTTGCAAAAAGGCATCTTGACACTGACAGGTTGTTGAGGCTACAGTAGTACTCCAGGTAGACTGTAACTTGTAAGTGTAACCCTGCTATAAGCATACAGCATCTACATGTAATGTGGCTGATTTTTTGTACTCAAATATAGAAAATGATGCATGGAAAAATGATGACTCCCATTTATAGATACATTGACAAATCGGATTTGTAAGGTATTTTTGATACCTGCCTGCAGTATTTTGTTTACTAATAATCATCACCTGACCTGTGAAGTGCTCAATAAAGAATGAGCCACATAAAAATGTTCTTTCCCCTCGTGCCACCAAATTAACCTTCTCCCTGCTGACCAACCCTGTAACCAATAGAGAATTGGTTCCCAAAATAATCTCTATGTAGATCTTGTGGAGGCTGCAAAGACAGTGCAATTTATTAGCAGTATCCATTTGGCAGGCAGCTACCATTTGCCACCCGTACAAAAGAGGAAGCCCAATAAAAACGTCTAAAATACGTCCGAAATAAGTCCAAGCCTCAACCTGTGCTTGGAGAGTTGTCCCCAAACAGCTACTTCAGTGTGGCTAAGGTTAAGTTCCTGCGTAAGTGAAGGAATTGACAGTCAATGGCTCCTGTTACTTGCTGCAGGTAACAACTACAGGATTGAACCATCACATCTGAGGAGCCGTGTGATAGCGCCTCAGTAGAACATGGAGGGTGGCGAACCCTCCGTCACCCCTCCCACACAGCGTAGAGGACCGGGTCGGCCACGGAAGGATGGACTCTCGCCCATCTCACGCAAACGGAAAGGGTAAGAATCATACCAGTTGTCAAGGCGACAGTTACTTGTAGACTTTTCCAAGAAATAATGTATGTGTGTCCTAATCATGAGGTATTGTTATTTTGGCCTTGGAAGGTTTCAGTTCACATTTTCTTATTTGCTTGTGTTAAATGAGGTATTGTTATTTTGGCCTTGGAAGGTTTCAGTTCACATTTTCTTATTTGCTTGTGTTAAACAGTTACTGCAGATATTGTGGAAAAGTGTAGGAAACTTGCCTGTGTAGTAGAGGACCAATGATGTTATATATTATATTGAAATGTTGACAATTGTTTTCTTTTTGTGGTGACTGCAAAGCCAGCATGTATTTAAGAACATTATCTTTATTAAAGTACAATGTTTCTTAAAAAACAAACAAACAACATCTCTTACAGAATAAGTAACAGCATCTCTTTAAAGAATAGCATCTCGTAATCTTAAACAGCATCTCTTAAGGAGCAGCATCTCTTAAATGAACAGCATCTCTTAACAAACAGCATCTCTTAAACAGCATCTCTTTAATGAACAGCATCTTGTATTCTTACGGAACAGCATCTCTAAACAGCATCTCTCATTCTTAATGAACGGCATCTCTTACTCTTAAAGAACAGCATCCTAAGGAACGGCATGTATTTTGTTGTCCTGTAGGACTAGTCGAGGCAGAGGAAGAGGCCGAGTACCTGTGATTGATGATGATGATGACATGCCACCAGCACCAGTTCCTGTACCCATACCAGTATCAGTACCAAACGTCCCCCCAGCTCAGCCTGACTACAAGTCTCCAATCACCATCAAATCAGAGGGAGAGCCAGTGGAAGTTAGAACAGCTACCGACCAGCAGTTTTTGCCTCAAACTGGTGCAACTGTAGATCTTCCAATAGACACTGGTCCTCCCCCTGGGGACAGCTTCATGACTTTTGGAGGAGGCGATAGTGAAACAATGGGGTAAGAATAGTAACTGGTTTATGTGTCTTTGATTGAGAATCAGTTGATAGATACATGTACTGTAATTCACTTTATGTTCACGGAAGCAAAATTTCATGGTCTGAGAAAAGTGAACATATTCACAGAACTATATATTCACTGTGATACACATGTAATCGAACACTCTCTTGAAAACGTATATGATTAAACATTTGAAAACTGATTTCTGAAGGACTTAAACATAGTGCACGTAGTGGCAACATGGTTTGAAGCAAAAAAACCTGTTCCAGTGCCACATCAGCTGTAAATCTGGTGCTGAAATGTCCCATGCAGTCAGCAGTGAGAAGGTTAAATGTGGAGTTCTCCCCTACAGGTCAGATATCCGCTGTGCGTTCTGCTGTTGTGGAGAGAAGTCTCTCCTGGGGCAGGGCGACATGACCCGGTACGATCCCACCCCGGGGTTCAACCCCTTCAAACGTAGGATAGACCGGACGCAGCGCTCCTCCACCGAGGCAGCAGGAGACCAGAACGAACGCAGTCCCAAACAGCACCTGACATGGAGGAGACAGAGAGGACCAGGCAAAGCCTCCAGGTAAGGCTGGACGCCAGGCTAACGTTTTTTTTTACCAACATACCGGCAAAAATCTAGGCACACCACTATGAAGGTACATCATTGCACAGAATGTTTATTACTGAGTTTTGCATGAATATTCTGTTTTTGTCTTTAAAGTTTAACAAATCCTTCTTGTGATTTTAAGGAAAACTGTGTAAGATTTATGGAAAACTGTGTAATTACATGTCTTGATGTGTTGTATTGCAATGTTATGTGTCTAATGTTTCCCTGCATGTATTGTACGATCATTTGGGGCCAACGTGACCTGGGCTCAGTGTCTTTTTCTTATTTGCAAATAAAGAATGATTTTACTACTTGTGGAAGCATAATATTTTTGTTGGTAGGCCTAAATGATTTTACAGTATGTGACATAAACATGTTTGATATTTCTAACCTCAGGGACAGAAGTAAATCTCCCAGAAGATCCAACCCCCACTATGAATCGGAGACTGGGTGTTGTGCTGTGGGGATGGATGAACTGAGCTGTGTGGGCAGGACAGAGGAAGTCGACCCCAGTGTGGTGTTTGAACCTTCAGGTAGGGAAACCACTTAACTATCAGAGAAGGGCTCTAGCCAGCTTGAAAGTTTTTTATGTCAGCCCAGGTTCATCATCGCCGCAGGCACTCGCTATCTAGGGGGGTCCTGGGAGACCACCCCCCCCCCAGTAAAATTTGGATTTGCAAGCCTTCAAAAATGCAATTTCCCACATTTTGAGAGGCAAATCATGGTGTTGAGAGTGGTTGTCCTTTGGATGTTTTCATATGTTTGTTAATTGTTGACGGATTGGTCAAGGTTGATGGATTGGTTTTAAAAAGATTTGTCTCACGCCGCAAAGTTCCGTAATTGACGGAAAAACTGGTGCTGGCTAGAGCCCTGGTGTTCTCACTTTGCTGTCTGACTGTAGGGGTTCCCTGCCCTGTGATTTTGACTGCTTATGTTGTGATTTAGCCACACTGTTTATTAACCAGTGAAGGGGTGTTTCTATGTAGGGAGAGCCTTGAGACCCTTTTGAAATTGACTTTGACTTCAGAATAAACTATAACAGAGAGTAAACGTTAGTTTACAATATTTATTAAATATCAAAAACAAGTTCCAGCTATGACACTCCTCAAACATGGGGACAACCGTTACTTCTTATTCAAAAGGATGTCCCTAACAGAAGCACAATATTTGGGCCTGCTTGGGATTGGAACCTAGAACTTTTAGATTCTAAGTCAAGTACCCTGACTACCATGTGACTTGACGAGTCATGTCTACTTCTGTCCCTTCAGGTCACACCTGGGCGCACCACTGCTGCGCTGCATGGTCTGAAGGAGTCTGTCTGGATGACAATGGCATCCTCATCAATGTAGATAAGGCGGTTTTCTCAGGTATCACACAGGTAGGTGAAGAGTTCAGTCAACAAACTTCTTTACACTCAAGTCAACCAAGTGCTTGTATCTGTCCGATGTTTCGGTGACCGCCTGTCACCTTCCTGAATACTTACTGATTCTACTATGAACTACAGCTAGGTGTGTCTGCTGCAGTGTGTAGTAGGTCACCAAAATGTTGGCTAGGTTGTGTACAAATGACTTTGTTATCTAGGTAGGCACAGGAATTTTTATCATGAATACTTAACCACAACAATAGCATAGAGACTTTTGAATTGGCTTTTACAAGTATAAAACATATTATAAAAAAACATATAAAAAAATAAATATATATGCTATTTTAACATTTACAAGGTATATAGTATATCAGTATAAAGAGTTTTATTACAATTTACACTATTGTTTCTAAGGCCACACCAATTTAATTTCTTGGTTAACGGATTTTTCCAGAAAAATAATGGAGCAGGCGGGCGAAAAAATAATAAAAATAAAAACAGGCCTAGGCATCCTATTATGGCCCAAAATGGTACGATAGGAGCCATGAAGTCAACACACCAGGCTGGTTCAAAATTTAAACAATGAATTTTGAACTTTTAATGATACCATTGCATTGAAAGATGGAATAACTGTAACAAGTAGGATGAAAAGGACTGTTTTCAACTGTTCAGGGCAAAATANAGTAAAATTTGGATTTGCACTGTTTTTTAACCAGTGAAGGGGTGTTTCTATGTAGGGAGAGCCTTGAGACCCTTTAGAAATTGACTTTGACTTCAGAATAAACTATAACAGAGTAAACGTTAGTTTACAATATTTATTAAATATCATATCAATAACAAGTTCCAGGTATGACACTCCTCAAACATGGGAACAACCGTTACTTCTTATTCAAAAGGATGCCCCTAACAGAAGCACAATATTTGGGCCTGCTTGGGATTGGAACCTAGAACTTTTAGATTCTAAGTCAAGTACCCTGACTACCATGTGACTTGACGAGTCATGTCTACTTCTGTCCCTTCAGGTCACACCTGGGCGCACCACTGCTGCGCTGCATGGTCTGAAGGAGTCTGTCTGGATGACAATGGCATCCTCATCAATGTAGATAAGGCGGTTTTCTCAGGTATCACACAGGTAGGTGAAGAGTTCAATCACACTGGATAACAAACTTCTTTGCACTCAAGTCAACCAAGTGCTTGTATCTGTCTGATGTTTCGGTGACCGCCTGTCACCTTCCTGAATACTTACTGATTCTACTATGCACTACAGCTAGGTGTCTCTGCTGCAGTGTGTAGTAGGTCACCAAAATGTTGGCTAGGTTGTGTACAAATGACTTTGTTATCTAGATAGGCACATGAATTTTTATCATGAATACTTAACCACAACAATCACATAGAGACTTTTGAATTGGCTTTTACAAGTATAAAAACACAGATTAAATATACATGCTATTTTAACATTTACAAGGTATATAGTCTATCAGTATAAAGAGTTTCATTACAATTTACACTATTGTTTCTAAGATCAAAACTGAAATTTGTGACTTGGAAAAGGGTGAAGATGGAATTTGACTCAGATGGTTTACCTTATTCTTGTTGGAGTGAACTAGGTAAAATAATTTTGTTTTTTTTCTCTTCTATTTCAGAAATGTAGTTACTGTAAGCGGTTTGGAGCGACCATCCTTTGCCGGAATGCCAAGTGCAATAAACTGTTCCACTATCCGTGTGCGGCTGGAGCAGGGGCCTTCCAGGACATCAAGACCATGTCTCTCCTCTGTCCTGATCACCTAGAGGAGGCAGAGACAATAGGTATGTAAGGCTTAGGGAAAAAATGGATGTTTTCCATTTTAGGGAACACTGATTTAAAGGATGACATCCGTGCGCGCATTGATTTTTACCTGTTCTACAAAAAAAAAAAATCACCTCCAAGGCTCTGGCCTGGGTACCAGGTGCCAAACCCACCCAGGCTGCCGAAACTTCACAGAACTCAACAACTCAGTACAATGCCCACTCATAAATGCCGCATGCGCAAAAGGCCAGCATGTGCCGGCTTGTGGTAAAAGTCGTACTACTGTAAATACCAGCTTTGTATTCCTGTGGTTTAGAAGAATTATTTTGGGCTGGAATAATTTTTTTATTCGCCCGCACGTACTAGTTTCGGGGTCTTCAGAGGATGTCATCAATAAGATTAAGTCAGTTTGGCCTTACTACTAAAAAAATTAGGGTAGGTAGGTTACTTAAGAAAAATCAGAGTGCATCATTATCTGTTGACAACAATCATGAATATAAAGAAATTGCCATTTGACACCAAATTTGTATTTCTTACTGGGTTAGGCAGCAGACAGACAGTAGGTTAAAACAAACGGTTTATTTCTGTTTGACTTTCTATCCCAGGGGAGAATGCGTGCTGCGTGATCTGTGACTTGCCAGGTGACATCTCGGACCAGCTCTTCTGCACCAGCTGTGGTCAGCACTACCACTGCACCTGCCTGGACCCCCCCGTGGAGATCAACCCAGTGGTACGGGCCGGCTGGCAGTGCCCAGAGTGTAAAATCTGTCAGACGTGCAGGTAACTATTCAACTGAACTAAATCTGTGGTATATTGACCCATAGCAGCTCAATATGTACATACATACAAGTAGACTAAACGTAGAACAATTGTCTGCATTTCTAAAAGAAGGGTTTCTGTAGTGGTCATCAGTTTTTAAAAGGTTTTTTACTCTTTAATATGTATAGAATTAAGTACAGATCTTGTATAACTTCCCATTCCTATGCGTGCAATTCTTGTTTGAAAGTTGCGTATTTTTTGTGTGAAACGCGTGTCAAAGCTGTGCAAAAGTCGTGTAATTCTCATGTGTATCTTGTGTATTTCTCGTGTGAAACGTGCAATCACGTGTAGGAAATTTGGGGCTCATAACTAAGAGTGGCAACATCATTTTCCATATTTGAATGAGAACGAGTATAATATCTTGCATAGCCTGCAAATTGAGTTGTGATATTCTCTAGAAAGTAGTTGTTGTTTTGTACCTGAAATTAGTTCTTGAGTCATGTCATGAATGTTATTTGTGTTGCTAGGCAACCAGGGGATGACAGCAAGATGCTTGTGTGTGACACGTGTGACAAGGGGTACCACACCTTCTGTCTGAAGCCAGCCATGAACACCATACCAAAGAACGGCTGGAAGTGCAAGGTAGCGTCCCAGGGTCTTCTTACTGTAAACTGCT